AGGACTTGGCTTCCACTTCACCCCAGGACCTCTACAGGGTTCATCTCTGACCCAGCCCATCCATACTTAGATGCTCATTACATTAGGACATTAGAAACCAGCCTTGTAGCTGTTTATTTCTTTTTCTGAAGAGAGGGATTCCTCATACATCTGTGTGTTGGCATTTAAGAGACCAATACAAAAGTGCTATTCACTGACTAACATCAAGTCTGGCAAATACTGCTGCATCAGATCACGTTCTGAAAGTTTCTCTTGTGCCTAAATGGCTAGATGCAATTGAGATGAGTAGCAACCCATGCAGAAACTGGCTAAGGAAAAGGTAGTTATGTCATCAGCATGCCAATCAGAGATATTCTGAGGCTAGACTTTTGCTTCAGAGAAGAAATAACTGGAGATGGAAATTAAAAGCAGGATTCCTTGACCTCTGTCTTTGGTGGCCAGCTGTTTATTATTCGGTTCACAGAAAGTAGGGCTTTTAGTAATTTTTTTCAAGGGAAAAAAAAAAATCTGTCACAAGGGTCCTCTAAAACACATCATCATCTGAAACATCTGGGCTGTTAGAAGCACTATGGTTACATACATGGTCCACTCAGCCACATCAGGTGACAAGTCCTGTGGGGAAATTCCAGGGAATTGCTGGAACATGCCACCTGCAGAGTTCTAGATTTTGAATCAGTAATATTCTAACAAAATTATTCCCTAATATTTAAAGGCCTATATTTTAATGAAAGCTTAAGATACATTGAAATTGCTTCAGTAGTAAGTGCAGTTTTACACAGCTTATCAAGCCCTAGTTATTGAAAATAACATACTGTAAACAGGAACTGAAACATGCCTTAATAAACACTATGAGAAATCTGGGAACAGCTGGTACAAACAGATTAGCCACAAAAGTGAAATCTATTGCCTATACAGAGCCATGCTTGTTACTACCAGCTAAATGGTCAATGTACCATGACCATATATTTGAAAACTCTTGTGACTCATACAGAAATATCTTCTTTCATCAGCATGTAACACTGACCAGAAATCCACCCAGCAAACTGTTCTATTGTGAGCAGCAATTTAACGTGCCCCACATCCTTACAATTAACTCTCAAACCATAACAACATTACTGCCAGGTTTATAATGCCTGGATGCAGAAAGCACTCTAAGTATCTTTAACAGACAGTTCACACATTTGCCTTTTCCCATCCCACTCACTTTGCAGCCAAGGAGGCTGGAATGCTGTTAATTTGATTTCCCTTCTCTCTCTTTGATTTTTTGCTCATGAAAACTAATGGGCAGTGCCTTATAACAAAGCTCATACTGTAAATAATTGAGATTGCCTTTCTAATTTACATGTAAATGCATACAAGAACTAAAGGTTGAAATTACATTATTAATTACAGATGGAACTGAATGTCGGGTTCTAAGTGGTGGTTGGATAACGTCTATAGACTCAAGGCCCTATATAATAAGATTCTTTGCTGCTTTTAAAGAAAGTGAGAACCTCGTGATTCAGAAGACAGAGAAAAATCTTCCCAAGATGGAAAAATGCCCTGTTCAACAGCTACCTTCCAGTCAGATTCTGTCAGCATCAGCCTGGTTTACTCAGTTCTATGACTATAGAACTTAATTCAATCAGATGTATAGCTGCAATGCTGTAGTAACTATTAAACATGCTTGGCAAGTCTCCAGGTGTCACACCAAATATACCCCTCTTTTCCCAACAGCACTGGGGAAGAAGCAGCAAAGCATTAATTTTTACTGTCTTTCAATTAAAATTGCTCTATAATATCCTACGGCAGAGCTGATTTTTTTCTTTGAAGTGAGCCGAATTCCCCTTTAACATAAATTAGCACCTGTGGCTGTTTACTCACATCATAGTCAGCTTAGTATTTTGTCCTGTTTTTCATGGTAAAAATTTCATAAGGCCTAAGGAAACTGGAGGATTTCCAGACATTATATTAAATATGTAATATTTTGGTAGATAAAAGACATCCAGAAGACATTTTCTTACATATTCATTGGAGAAGGAATCTAGATTTCCAATCTTTCAAATTGTTCTAGACATTAAAATCTGTAATTTTTCTGGATCTCTTTAAAAACAGCCAATATATGCCATACATCAACCATCATCTGAATATCTTCTGGGGTCAGATGTTTTTTGTTTGTTTGTTTTTAAAGAAAAGATGGAGCTAAAAATTGTCAAAGTTCTTTAACAATGCGGTATGAACAGCGACCTGAATTTCTCATGATTCTGAAACTTGCATCTCGTCTGTTGATGTGTTCTGGCTCAGCTGATGAAAGCTATCACAGCCAGTTCTGCAGCTGAATCATATCTGTAAATCCTCTGGAGGCGGTTGTGTGAACAGACCACTGCTGAACGCCAGCAATTCTTGACAGGCATGGGGGCTGTTGGAAACTCTTGTCACTCATGGCTGATTCAAAGTAGCTCCAGGACTGCTCAACTTTATGCTAAATGCTAATTGCTTGCCCACAGTCCCAACAGCCAAGCAATGCTCATGGTCATTCTTGCTGTCTCCTGCCATTTCAGGCCCTCCTGAGAACATATCTGAGCCAGCCCTAAGGATGAGGACCAGAGTACATCAGCAGGGAAAAAATCACTGTGCCTTCCTTCCCCTTCAGAGTACAAGAAAAGAGATCCAATGTGTATCCAGCTTGTACCGCTAAGACAACACCAGCAGCTGTAAGAAACAAAGATTTTGTCTTCAGAGCATCTGCATGGTTTCTAAAACTCTGATTTTGACAGCAGCAGTACTATAAAATATTTCTCTTAAATAAGATCATACAAAAACAAATAATGTCACTTTTTCTTCACTACTTCTAACAAAAAGTACTGCTGCGTTTCCACAGCATCTGCCACTTGAATAGATCAATCAGCTAAATCTCTGAATACTTAATCTTAATCCAGTAATGAATGCAAAGTCACAGCACAAAGAAGTAATTCCTACAGTAATGAATATTAATGAGTATTTCAAGAGGATCACAATCCATCTTCTTAAAAATCATATTAAGAAATAAGAATATAAAGAAATTAAGAAATAAACATACAAGAAAAAGTAATTTGTATTTGTTACTTTTTGCTTTAAAGAACTGAACCTGAATATTTTTTGAGTATATTGTTCTGCGAATCAGATTACAGCCATCAGAGGGGTATCATTCTAATATAAAACTTAATTCATGTATATTACAGGTCCAGGCATACAGGATTTCTTCCTGAAAACTTTTCAACCTGCCAGCCTTTATGCAAAAAAAGTGCCCCTTGGGCTCTGTGCATGATGTAAAGTAAGTCCTAAATGGCTAAATCTGATTGCTCTGTAAGATAGCAGGATTGCTTAGCAATAGTGGAAACTGAACACTGCATACAGAACAGTCCCCTTGAAACGGGGCCAGAGTAGGTCAGCCTCTATATTACAAACTGGACTTCTGAACAAAATCTTTTCCCACTAGCAATTTTCAGTTAAAGATTCTCAGTAATTCCTTCTGCTATTTTTAAAACTCCCAATAAAATTAAGAACTGTATTTAATTTCAAAAATTCTAAGCTGTTGAGATCCTAGTCAGTCATACATAAGGGTGCTGGAATCACTTCAAACCAACTTTTCGCTGTTCTGCCTGTCAATTGTCATTTGACAATTCTTCCTACTCCTCTCATATTCCACAGAAATTAATGCTTCAGTAGAGAAATTCAGTGATTAGCAAAAACCCAAAGATTCTCAGAACACAGCCATCCCCAATACAAACTATCTAGAATTACTTGAATATTAGCAAAACATTTTTGCTTTATTATGTACTTACTGAGGAGACGGATTAAAAAGGCACACGCTGACACTACTAAATAAGAAATATTGCTGTTCCTTCTGACAGGATTAGCTAAATACCTAAATGATAAGAACACTCCTCTGCATTTTTCCTATACTCAGGAAATGTGCACTGAAAAGTCACTCTTTGATCTATTTGACTGCTTTCACTTACTGTAGCAGACCTTTAGACACATAAAAGATTTATTTTCAGTAGTCTAAGGGAGCTCCTCTTTCTTGCTTTGATGTATAAAGGATTTATGATCAATACTATCTGAAAGCAGCTGGCATTGCTACAACTGCTCAGAGTCAAGCAAAAATATTAAAATTAATGCAACACTGGCAAAAAAATGATATGGCCTTTAGCATTTCAGAAAATGTAATTATCTTAGTAAATGTGTGTGGTTTTGGTAACGAGACTCAAAGTTTCAGATGGATTATTTTTAATAACATCTTTTCACAGTGGTTTTATTACATATTCTAAATCAAAACTCACCACTTACCTAACAGATAAATGCCTCGCTCCATCAACAGGCTTTAGATGAACAGGTCTGGCACCCCGCACAGAACCTTAATGATGTCAATCCCATAAAGGCATGAACTTCACCTACAAGCGGCTCAGAGCAAAATCCATCTTACACTAATTATATTATCTTTGGGTGACCAACATAAGAAAACACATTCAGAAAACAATTTTTATAGCTGTGGTTCTACTACTGAAGATGCTCCCCACTGCATTTCCACAGGCAATACTAAGGATTAGATCAATGAAAGAGAATAAAGATTGGAAGTAATTTCACAGCCACTGTGAGTTGACTGAGAAGCAATCCAAACTCTTCATCTAAACTTCCACATCTCCCTTCTGCCACCAGTAGAATTCTTACAGCTGCACAATGAAACAACATGAATTCAACTGACATCCAACACTTTCCTCCTTGGATTAGTATTAGGGGGAGCAAGTCAATTTCCTGATCTGGATCAGCAGGCAGGCAATGTTTGCATTAACAGAACTGAGCAGCTCAGATGAAAATGGATCTTTTGATTGATCCCAACCCACTTAAGCATATGTGAAAATACCTTAGGGATCTCACATGCAGGCTGTCACAATATAGGGCTATCAGCCACCAGTACACTGGGGGATCTGGTCACTGCTCTTCAGAAATAATACCATATGTTCTCCAATAATTCTTCCACATTTTATGTTGAAGTTATTTATTGAAGTACGCATTCACATCAAAGCATACATGCTGTAAACGTAGGATTTAATGTAAAACCCTGAAGAACTGTATTACACACCAGAAGTAGTCTATTTCAAGAACTTATTTTCATTAAGAAACATATTTTCTAACTTCTTAATAAACATATATCTTTTACAGTTCTATGTAGTAAACAGCTTTCAGTGTTCTCCTACTACTGATTTTCACCTCAGCAAACACTATTAATGACAGCATCATTTACTATTTACACAGTTATCAGAACCACAATTCAGTGAGCATTTTAATCCCAATGATATCATCATCTTTGTATGAAACAGCACAATCCATTACAGTGTCATTAATATTTCATTTTCCAAAGGAATTATTACTTCATTAATGCCAACAAACCTCTTTTTGCTCAAGCTGAAAAACCTCATGAATAAATTATGTCATGTTTAGATATGAAAAACAGGTCAATGGCTATTGAGTTCACATTTCCAAAACGAAAGCATTCCCTACAGCAGGGCTCTGGAGAAAACGTGCTTCAATAATAGAATCCTCTTAGTAAGTATTAAAACAATCACTACATTGAACTGTAAAGACAGAGAACATTTAGAATTAAGGAACTTTCTTTAAATTACAGACACATGGCATAACATTTTAAGACTTCACTTATATCAGCTTCCTACCAATTGACATTGCATACCTTGAAGCCAGAAAATCCCCCTCAAGCAAGTTCTTTTGAGTGAAGAAATGGGTGAGAATATGACATTCTTCTCATACAGCCAAGTGTCACTTTCCTTTTTTACAAAGATTTAGTTTCTGGCAATGCATCTTTTTTATTGCCCAGCAGATAAAATCTCCAACAATCACAGATTAGAGAAACTGTTGTCCAAGAGGAACATTTCTTATACAGAAAACAAGATTACAGTAGGCTCTACTGCTTTAGTAAATTATATGAAATCATATCTTAAGCTTTCAATGAAGTGGAAAATAGTTGCATAAAAAAAAAAAAAGGATTAATCTAAATCAATTGTGCATATGCATATACACTTATACTTGTTCCTTCAGTCATGTTATACTACTACTGACCCGGACAGCTGCTGCAAAGTGAGGCATTTAGTCTTTATATACAGATACAGTCTGTGATAACATTCTCTGACCTAAGTTCAGGCATGGCACACTGGGATTTGTTTTATGAGGTATACCTCTGTGGTTTAAAAAAAACAACAACAGCAAAAAAAACAAACAACCAGTTGTGATCTGTTCCAGTTAATGTAAAAGAAGAAAGCTCTCAAGAGTTTTCTAGTTGTGTTTTCATTGGGAAACATTTTGGATATTCATGGAATAAAAGGTAAAACAGTGGTTGTAAATTAAGGCTAAAGGCAACTTTTATTTACACGACGTCTAACAAACAGACCTAAGCAATCATTACATTGGACATTCAGATTCTGAACATCACTATTAGCAAGTTAATAGCACACCTAGGCAGTCTAGGTAGCATTACATTCTTCATGGAGCTGTGATCACTGATTTCCAGCATTTGTTGTTTTCCGACGAAGCCACCTCAGGGCTCTCACCAGTGCAACTTGTCCCATGAGGAATGTGATAGTAAAGTTACGTTTATACCAATCTCTTGAATTCCAAAGCCAGGAAGATAACCAGCACACAGAGCAAGAAGAGAAAAAGGAACATAAATATATTAAGACATCCTTTGGCACTGACAAATGACAATTTTGCGATGACTTACACTTTCCATTCTTTGTGACAACACTTTCCTTGTCTAACTAAATAACTTAAGAAAATGTCAGATGTGGATAGTCACATAATGAACAGATTGCATGTGGAATATATGGCTACAATTATTCAGAGCTCAACTGCATAGAAGTTTAATGTGCAGCTTTATAACCAATTTTTTTTTCTTTTTTCTTCAATCATTTTAAATCAGATAAGATTAAATCTTATGATGACCAGCTTTACTTCAGAATCAAGCCATTTTTAAAAAATTTCCCATCAGTGCTGTGCTATGTGTAGTATCTATGCACGTGTGAAGATTCATGTGTTGGCAAGGGTGTAATTGGTCACCTCCTTATTTGGGGGGAAAGGAAGAAGAAGTAAAATCATACTTCAAAGTTTAACTATGTAATCCAATACAGGAAACACTTTCACAATGCCTCACCTTTTAAAGACTATGCCTTTAATATTACTAAAGTTTGCTTTCTGGCATGCGTGACTTCTAAATATTGTAAATATACCACTTTTTAATCTTTGGGCATTTGCTTCAAATTCTTGCTCCTGTTACCAACTGAAGTAATGTAATGATTACCTTCATTTTTCCACCACAGATCCCTCCCCTATTTTGCAAAATTTCACACAAGCAGCAATATGGTACTCTTATTGTGGAAATAGCAGAGAACATTACATTACACCTTGCATTTAGGTCTTCTGTCATATCTTCTAGAAATCGTGCATGTGCAGATTAGCACAAACCTGAGATATTAACCTCTCAGTAAGGACAGCAGTGAAAATCATGCTGACAAGAAGCACTGAGCTACCCTCCAAAATGTCATGTTAAATCAAAATATCATGCTAACACCACAACTGCTTTTTTTCCCCTTTCATGTCTCATTTCCTTTTTTTTTTTTTTTTTAAAGACTATCTCCACTCTAGGTACCCTGAACCATATATTCTTGTTGACTATGCACACCATCGTCTTTATTCAACCTAAATTTTAGAAGTTTTAACACTTCAGCAGCCAGTTTTCAGGCCAGCTAGCAACACTGCAGAAAAGTGTACAGATTAATGCATAAATTGATCTTTTTAAGTGAAAAAAAAGAAAAAAAAAAAGAATGCCTGTAAGCTCCACTGTTTTCAAGGCTGTGCAGTTCCACTTGGCATCAGCCATTCCATGTGCTGTAACAAAGCAGCAACAAGGATCACCACCTTCAGAAACAGCCTGAACTCTTTGGTTTTGCTTCCTCCACCCCTAGGCAAGACATGTTCATTTATTTTAAATGCTATTACTTTACTGTAAGAACAATCCTATTGTATATGCACAATACCTACAAAGAACCCTAAACTGCATTTTTTCATAGATCACAGTGACAGTAGAATTCTAACTCATGTTACATCATCAGGAATCTGAGAATACTTGTAACCTTAGAGCCCAATAGTCTTTCATTCCAATACAGAGAAGAAATGACATTTTGGTTTCACATGCAGTGGACAGCACTACTCTAACTGGGTTGAGCAATATCCTCTGCCTGCTTCCTACTTCCTTCTCTCCACTAAGCTATTTGCAGGTTGATAATGTGTATTTGCAAGTCATTTGCTAGTTGTTTCAGAATCCCAGTCCAGTTTATCAAGTTGTGGACAAACAGTGACAAAAACAATATAGCACAGTGAAGAGAAAAGGTGAGTGGATGTGGGCACACCCCACTGTAACAAAAGTTCAATTCAGGATGAGCACAGAGGGTCATCTGGAAAAGGCTTTGCCACACAAATAAACCTCCCAAACTCAAAGTTATTCAGCTTCATCGTGAGTGCACATTTGCAAAATAATAACAAAAATAATAACAATACACTTATTAAATGATTTTCCTTTGAGAGAAATCACGTTTACTACTCCTTACTCAATTTAGTCAAGTAGATTTTGTTATGCTGAAGTTGCAATCTTTTTACTCACACATTTATCACTTTCAATTGGCAGGAAGAAAAGGTCCTCCAATGCTATAAGAGAAATAAAATTGATCTTGTCCCTTAATTACCAGTCTTCTTTCACCACAAAAATCAACAATTAACAGCAGACAAAGTCAAATGCTAATGCAAATCCACATCAAGTGCTAACAGCAGCACTTTATAAATCATTTTCCAAAACAACAATTTCAGGTGCTCGTTCTAAAACGTTATGGTAAAAAACAAAGTTAGATCCAACCCCCTATACCTTTTGGCTAGACTATGATGTCAACATAAATACATTCTACATACCTGTTATAATGCAAATGCTTTCTAAAATTTTTACGTAGGAAGTCCTTGTAAAAGTCAGCCATTTCCTCTGCATTCAATGTCACTTTCTGGCCTGAAAATAAGTTTTGGCATGACAATGTGAAGATAGTTCTTCAGACTAAAACACCAGGTTCAGATTGTGGAGCCTTGCTCTCACAGACTTCTTGCATAACCTTGAACACATGCATTTACATATTAAGAACTTATCAGTGGAGCACAGCAGATTAAAAACACTGTGCACCTTGAAACCAGCACAGTAATCCTTAAAAATCTTGTTACTCATGAAAGTGATGTTTGTTTATAAAAGCCTCAGCTTACATAGGAAGCCAGCAAGTCCTCAAGAAAAAGTCATCTACTTCTTGAATAACATTAATTTGTCACAGGGCTGAAGTCTAAACACCACCAGTAAGAGCACTTGGTAACTTGAGTTTCCTCCCTTAAAGGTCTGTAAGTACAGGCAGAACACTATTCATCACTGACAAAACACTGTCAAAAATACACTTTTTTCTACTGCTGTTACTAAATTTCAAGTGACTTATCTCAGTACAAGTGCTCTTTCGTATGTCAGATATATTAACTTAGTAGGCAACTTTTTGTACAGAAGTACAAGAGATTTGAACATACTGCTGAGTGTAGAAGGTAAGGAGACATGTATTCTCTCCACAGAATGTGAAAGGAAGATCTTTTTCTACCGCACAGAAGTAGCACCTGGACAGCCAGCAAATATTCTCAACTTTAACAGTTATCTCCTACAAAAGCTTTCTAGCACCAGCAGCAATTCTAAAACGTGGGTCAAATTAGAATTTCCCAGAGAATATGGACACGAGGGAGAAGAGACTGTAAGATTCTTGTTATTGTTCCAAAAACACATTTTAAAGCACTCAAGACTGATCACAGAACTGTACATTATTTATCAGTACTACAACATCCTAACATGCTATGCAATAAAATCATCACAACAGCTTTAGTTATTTTGTTTCTTCATAATCTTAAATCAGTTCTGCTGATAGCATTAATCTTTTGTATAAGAAATAACTTTTATTCCAACTGTACATGCATGCAGTTATTACTCTTATCTATATACAGCTCTGTGTGTGAACAATGAAGACTAACCCAATATGTGCAGTCAACGTAAGGGATGTAGAAGCTTATTTTCTCTTTTACTTCTCAGATTAAAAAAAAAAAAACAACAAACAAACACACACAAAGCAGTAGTTTTTCTTAACAACAGAATTTAATTTGTTTTGCAATCACATACGATCACTAGGACATAAATAGAAGAGAAACACAAAGGTCTGAGATACATAGAACATCAGTACAGATGCTTTCCTGAAGTCAAACACATCATTATTCTATAAACAAAAAGTTCAGCCTCGTACTACAATGGCCAATTCTCTACATTAAGAAAGCATCCTTTTTCCTATTTCACACAGTAAATTACTCAGGCAAGTATTTTACAGCAACTGTGCTCAGGTCAGAGAACAGCTGTTGCCTCTTTGCCCTGAGAAGCTGATGCCCCATCCCTGGAGCTGATAAAGGCCAGGCTGGATGGGGCCGCAGGCAGCCTGATCTAGCATCTGAATTATTGGTCAGCAACCCTGCCTGCAGCAAGGGGGCTGGAATGAAGTGATCTTTGAGGTCCCTTCCAACCCAAAGCATTATTATTCTTCAGAGGTTGTCTTACTCTCTCCCGTAGAAAATACTGTATTAATTTAACGGACCTAAAGGAAGAGCATGCATTTTTCTGCCCAACCACAATATCCACCTAAGGCAAGTGCTCTAGTACATTCAGCTCAGCTAGCTCACTGGGTTAAGAAGTGTGAGAGAAGAAAGCCAGTTCCTCCTTAGGCTGTAAAATGATTAAATCACTTGAAGAGGATTTCAGCACACTCCCTCCAGGTGGGCAAGGAGGAATTAGGGGACAAACACTGCAACAGAAGATCTCACTTTCCATATGCATGCTCTGAACAATTACTTGTGGTAGAACATGCAGCACATAACTAGCAAAATCTGAAGTCAAACAGAATTCATAGTGTATCCTGAACTGTAGAAAGATCTCACTAACCTGTTTCATCTCTTGTTTCCAGACCCTTGGCTTTCAGTCTTGAGTAGATAAATTCTTCTTTTTCCTAAAAGATTTTTTTTCCACATAAGAATTTGAGGCATTTGGTCCTTGAAGTAAGCCTTTATTTTTAACTCATGTAAGAGCCCAGTGCCTAATATCCCTCTGAAATAACAAACAACACTCATTAATTTGGAAATATCAACAGAACAGTTTCCCAAGCACAGTGACTTTGTGTTAAACTGATAAAGTTCTGTTGCTTAAATCCTTTTGGAGTTGGTCCAGAGGATGGCCGTGAAGATGATCAAAGGGCTGGAGCACCTCTCCTATGAAGAAAGACTACAGGAGTTGGGCATGTTTAGCCTGGAGAAGACTCCAGGAAGACCTTACCACAGCCTTCCAGTACTTGAAGGGAGCTTATAATTGGGAAGGAAACAGACTTTTTGCATAGTTTGATAGTGATAAGACAAGGGAGAATGCCTTTAAACTGAAAGAGGGAAGATTTAGGTTAGATGTTAGAAAGAAGTTCTCTACGCAGACAGTAGCGAGGCCCTGGCACTAATGCCAAGAGAGCTGTGGGTGCCCTATCTCTGGAAGGCCAGGTTGGATGGGGCCCTGGGTAGCCTGAGCTGGTGGGCCTACGTGAGGGGTCTAGAACTGGGTAAGTTTTAAGGTCACTTCCAGCCTTAGCCATTTGATAATTCAATGAACCTGCTAGCTGCATGCATCAATTGATTCATACACGTGTTCTACTGAAACACATACAACTCATGCGTAGAGTACCACTAACCTGTTTTTTTCTACATCCAAATCTTACAAAAACAAACTAACAGTGAAGATAAGACGCAGTGTGTAACTTCTCTTTTCTATGTTCAGAAAAACATGCGGCCTTAAAATCCGTCATTATTTGGATGTATACAGAATAATTATCTTTTCACCATTTTCTCAAACTCAAAAAGCAGTTCTACAAAATTTTTTAAAAAGTTTTATTTTTTGCCAAAATCTTCACATGGTTTTGTGATTTTTGGTTTTCAGTATTCCACATCATAACATCATGTGGGGCACTGGGAGTCTAACTGTTAGTGCTCAAGTTCTGGGTACCTGCCTAGGAGAGAAGAACTACATTCTCCAGGGAACTTTGCGGTCACAGAGAGGAGACAGAACTCCTGGCAAGGTCACCTGATGGGCTCTTTTTCATCCATTCTTCTTTGCCTGCTCTTCTTCATCAGCTCTCCTCCTGTCTCCCTGCTGCTCAACTGGACTGCGCATCTCACCTCAGTATTATGGTGAGGCCTATCCACCTTTTGGACATTCTCTCTCTCATTATATTTATTAGCTTCAAATTTAATTATATTGTATTATAGTGTGTTATCTTGCATTCTGATAATGTATTTGGTAAATTAGTTTGTTTCTCCTCAGATTGTTGCCACCGTTTTTAATTATTTTGGGGTCCCCTGTTCCCTTTTGCAAAATCCCTCCGCCCCGCTAGTCAAAGAACTGGGCTGAACCAGCCTGTAAACCACTGACACAAGGTCAGGGAGGATATGGTGACCAAAGCTCAGCAATAACAAATTACTGAATCACTCCCATTCTTCCTAACTTACAAGATTATAGAATAGTTTAGGGTGGAAAGTCAGCGAGCTCCAACCCCCCTGCTATGGCTGGCTGCCCCTCAGCAGACCAGGCTGCCCAGGGTCCCACCCAAACTCAGCACTGAATACCTCCAGGGACGGGGCACCCACAGCTTCTCTGAGTAGCAGTGCCAGCACCTCACTGCCCCCTGAATAAAGTTTGGGGTTTTTTTAAACAAGTAGCCTAAACCGCCCATCTTTTAGTTGAAAGCCATCGGTGCAATCACAAAAGAAAGCAGGCCACAACTGAATGCGTCTTTGCTTTCAGCCTCGATACAAGCTGCAACCGCCAGCGCAACAGGACCGGTCACGGAACCGTTTGAGTCAGAACGGACCCTTAAATGCCCCCAGCCCGGCCCGAGGCCGCCCCCCAGCGGCGCCAGACTCACCCTCTGGAAGGCGGTGTTCTGCCGGGCCCAGAAGCGCTGGTTCCACGCCTGGGTTTCCTCCCGCAGCTCCCGCAGCCGCCGTTCCAGCGGGGACTCGCGGGGCGGCACGTGGAAGATGACGGGGCGGAGGTTGGAGCGCCGGTCGGGGGGCCCGATCCAGTCCCTGCGGGAGCCGGCGGGGGGGCGGAAGCGCGGCCCCTGGGAAACGCGCGGGACGACCGGCGTTAGCGAGTTAGCGAACTTCAAGCGCGTCCCGGAGCCCCGCACGGCTTCCAAACGCGCCGCGACGCGCACTCACCGCTCGCTCCCCGCCGCCGGAGAAGGAAGAGGAGAAGCGGCCGTAGCGGCAGCCGCCCGCCCTCAGCGCCCGCGCGGCGCCGCCAGCCGCCATCCCCCGCCGCCGGCCGCGCTTTACGGCGATGTCGCGCGGGCAGGGCGGCCCCGCAGCCGAGGGCGGTGCTGCGGGGCGGGGCCGGGCTCCGGGCTCCGCGCCCTTCGCTACCGCTCGGCCGTGGCGCAGCGCCGCGCCGGGCCGCCGTGCCTCAGCCCGGGGGCGGCTGCCGGGTGAGCCGGGGGCGGGGGGGGGCGGACGGGACCTGCGGGGCCGCGTCGCCTTCAGCTCCGGAGCGGTGGGAAGGGGCGGCTGCGGGCGGGGCGGGGGGAGCGCCGTGCCCGCGGGTTCAGCCCCGGGCTGAAGGAGCGGCGCCCGCGGATGGGGCTGCCGTGTGGCTGCAGCGCCGGGGGAAAGTTGTAAACAGCGGCGCTGGGAAATGGCGCGGCACCCGCTTAACCGCCGCGTTCTCTTCGCTCTCCTCGCAGTTCATGTGAAGCCGGATGAGAGAAGAGCATGGATATGGGGAACCAACACCCTTCCATCAAACGGTTGCACGAAATCCAGAAGGAAGTCAGAGAGATCGAACAGCAAGTGGCCGTCTTCAGCGGGTTGTCCACGGACCGGGACTACAAGAAGCTGGAGAGGTCCCTGACCAAGCAGCTGTTCGAGATAGATTCTGTGGACACCGAGGGCAAAGGGGACATCCAGCAGGCCCGGAAGCGGGCTGCCCAGGAGACGGAGCGGCTGCTGAAGGAGCTGGAGCAGAACGCGAACCACCCGCGCCGGCTGGAGATCGAGGCCATCTTCAAGGAGGCACAGGCGCTGGTGGAGCGCGAGATCACGCCTTTCTACCAAGGAGGCAACTGCGTAAGCGAGGAGTTTGAAGAAGGCATCCAGGATATCGTGCTGAGGCTGACCCAGGTGAAAACCGGAGGGAAGGTTTCTTTGCGCAAAGCGAGGTATCGCACCCTGACAAAAGTGTGTGCCGTGCAGGAGATCATAGAGAGCTGCGCCAAGAGACAGCTCTCCCTGCCGCTCTCTAATGATGCGCATCCTTCTGTCTCCAAGATTAACTCTGTGATGTGTGAGGTGAACAAAGCGAGAGGAACTCTCATTGCGCTTCTGATGGGAGTGAGCAGTAATGATACCTGCAGGCATTTGGGCTGCGTGCTCACAGGCCTCGTCGCCGATTTGGATGCTTTGGATGTCTGCGGTCGCACGGAAATCAGGAATTACAGGAAGGAGGTCGTGGAAGAGATCAATAAATTGCAGAAATACCTGGACTTGGATGAAGAAGCGAATTCTACTCACGCTTATGATTTGGCACAAAATCAGTCCATTCTAAAAATAGAAGAAATCCGCAAGAAAATGAAGGAAGTTAATTCTTTACTTTTAAAAACAGAGAATGCTTCTGATTTGTATTTGGGATCCAAAGCGGAACTGCAGGGATTAATTGCTCAGTTAGATGAAGTGAGTCCGGGAAAAAACCCTTGTATTAGAGAAGCCAGGAGAAGAGCAGTGATAGAAGTACAAACTCTCATAACATACATCGATTTAAAGGAAGCACTTGGGAAAAGGCAGATGTATGCAGAGCAGACTGCTGCAGAACATCAGTCTCATAAAGCAGTTTGGACTGTTCTTGGAAACTTGTCTCAAATTCAGCAGGAGGTGATTTCTTTTGATGGAAATAGAACAGATAAAAATTACATGCGATTGGAAGAACTCCTTACAAAACAACTTCTTGCACTTGATGCTGTTGACTCACAAGGTGATGAGCGATGTAAGGCTGCCAGAAAGCAAGCAGTAAAGCTTGCACAGAATATTCTTTACTATCTGGACATGAAAACAGATGAATGGGAGTACTGAAGGAGCCATGGCCTGACATAAAATAACATTTTTTTCCTGCAGCACTTCATGTAGGATGATAGTTACATTGGCAGCACATAATGAAAGTGGTGTTCTGTGCTTGCTTAAATCACGGAGGTTGCATAAAAAGTTACCTTGGCTATATGCGTGCTATCCCACGCAGTCACCCACTTGCCATGGCAACTGTCAGTACACCATCAGCAATTCTGGTCACTGCTATAAGCAATGGAATGTAATTCTCTGAAGGAGCAGCTTAAGAGTTGATTGAATTGCTTCTTTTTTTAATCTGTTTTGTTGTTGTTGTTTTGGTTTTGTTTTGTTTTGTTTTTATAACCTATTGTAATGTTCAGAGAATGCAAATATTTCAAAATGCAGAAAATTCCTTGTGGTGCAGTACTGGCAGAACTGTTTCAAGAAAGCTGGACATCAAAATTAGTGTTTAAGCATGAGGCTCCTTCCAGCAACTTCATAGCAGTCTGGATGCTCTTAATGTGCTGTTTTGATGAAAAGTATTAAATGCAAAAAAAACCTGCTGCCTTTTGGGTTGTACTTTTTTTATTCCATCCATCACACGTTCTGGTTGTTTAGATCTCTTTAGACTTCCTACTTAGCAGAAGTATAATGCCAACTTCAAATTTACATAGGCAAAGCCACTTTTTTTAATGGTGTCTGTGACCTATGATTTGCAAGAACAGTTCTGCTGCTGGTGGAAACTCTCTAACATTTTTGCTTTAAGAAGCTGAGACTTGAAGAGGACAATCTGTAGATATGTACTGGCCAGATGAATTGGGTTTTGAGGATTTCACACTGCCATCCATTAGCACCTGAAAACTGCAATGAACTTTATTAATGGTACTTAGGGGTCTTTTTAAGATTCTGCTGTTCTATCTGCTTTTGACTTGTCTTTTCTTATTTGATGAAAAAACAGAAGTCACTTTGAAGCGGATGAGCGTTTTTGAATTATTTTTGTAAGACTAGAGAGCTAGATATAAAGGCATCCCTAATGATGTACGTTTGTGTGATATATATATATTGATCTTTCATACTGGTCAGGTGTGGCTTTAGGCATGTCTTGGAAAAGACTTTAGGCATACGTCTCTCCTTGTAACTCACTGCTTAATTATAAATAAGCTTTGTAAATAAGCTCGACTGTACTACTTTATGCACTACCTTTCCATTTGTGGCTGCTAGTACCTATCACATTTCTACTACAGCATGGTTTTTAGCTTTTTTTTTTTTTTTTTTTTGAGCATGGCATTAAAATGAATGAATGCAGAGAGATATATTTAATTACAGAAACTTTGCACTTCACACTTTCATGTCGAATTAATGAATCAATGTTCCATAGGTGATGTTTTGCACCTCTTTAAGGAGTAAAGACCATTTCGGATGTTAAACTTTAAACAAAGTATTTTTCAATATATTTTTGACCGATTAAATAAGACAGTGCTGCCTGTGAGACACAAGTGCCTTTAGGACACCACAAACTTGCACCATTATGTGTAGATATAGAAACTGTTTACTGGCAGCTTGATGCAAACTGGATTTATTATGTATATGTAATTCCACTGTATCTCAAGTTAATGTAATAGAATAGGTGAGAATTGCTGTATGGCGTCCTGACAACAAGCATCAAATTTTGGAAAAAATATATTCTATTTAAAAATGAATTTATTTACTTTAAAACAAATACGGAGATTGGGGACAAGAAAGAGAGAGTACTCTTCCTCTGCAACATGCTTTCAGATGCTGCTGAAAGCCTGTGTCACTTCAGAGTGTGAATATATCTTGTTTTGTGAGCATGCATGTGATTTCTCTGCATTTTACTTGCCAAAACCAATCTGTTTTTTCAGTTAAATACCTAAGGTACAGTTTGGCAATGGCAGAACATTTGCTGGAGGGTTCTCCCTGGCTCTTCAGAGATACAACCTTGTTGAATTTATTTGCCCTTACCTAAAAAAATATAAATAAAATCATTTCTTCTGGGTAAAATTCCAATCTGTATTTATAGATTTTATGGCTGACATGGAATAGTGATGTTTGACACCTGAATTATTTTACTCATTTCAAGATTTCTCCATGTTTGAACTTCAATCTCCGGTTTATGCTTAAATTTTTAGGAAATGTAAGAATTTAATAGTGTGGTGATAGTATGCATTTTTCTTTTGTACTGCTGTCAGGTCTGCAGTGGTTTCTTGGAGGTTGTTTAACAATTTAATGTCGGTGTTCTTTGGAGGCCATGTGTAGCTTTATAAATGTTTGAACTTAGGCAAAAATGAGTAAGCATAGTTTTCAGATCTATTTTAACTCTGCTTGTCTTTCAGCTTCTCTGAATAAAAAATCAAGCCTGCATCTCTAGTGAGGCAAATGTGTAAGGTTAGTGTCATTTTCATTAACTGACTAGGATTTGGTAGCACAATACTGTGTGGATTAAGCTTTTTTCCATTGTTCTGTAATCTAATCAATTGATTATTTAAATTTTATGGTAAAATCCTCATCTGGAATGGGATCAGTTCAATTTTTGCATGAATGAAAACTAAATATGCTTAACCAAAAAAGAAAAGGAAAAAGCAGAGATTTCTCGAAGTCTTGCTTTTGTTCTAAAGAATGTAATGACTCTTTTTTTTTCTATCCAAACATTGAGGAACACACAGCTTCTCAATATGACAGGCTAAATAATTAGCAAAATGTAAATGGACCAAGTTGCAAAAGCTTGCATTTTAGTGTTCTGCTGAAGTAAAGTAACTTTTCTGTGTTCTTTGTAACCTACCTTAGAGCTAAACAGGTTATTGGATATTTTGGGGAGGTAATGATACTTTACAATTTCTATTTGTTAATTGTATTTCCCTTTGAATTGGTTTTGTTTGGTCATGTCAGTATTTTTGTTGCTCACCTCTCAGAGGGTTTTTGCTCTGTTACCAGTTTGGAGGAGGCTTTTGTTAACGTAAATTATTGTACATGCTCCTATGATGTATGTCCTGATTTATTGCTGTGTAGGGTGTGGCATTTGTATATACAAATTCAAGGTTAAATATTGCAGTGTTATATTCCTGATTAATAAAAATACATTGCTAATTTTACAAGGTATTCATTTGAATGTTATGCCCTGCTGCCTTTATTTATTTACGAATGTGAGTTATCAGAATGTAATGATTTTTGTTTTAGAAAAAGTGATTAAACATATAGACATAAAATCCTCTCTTTTTCTTTTTTTTTTTTTCTTCTTCTAAAAGTTTGTTTTTTCACTGCTGTATTTAGGAAAATAAAGTTCTTTATGTGAAAATCACCCCAACCTCTACTTGCTAAATCTGGTGTTGTTTGTTTTTCTTTGCATCCAGCCTTGCATTACAGTAATTGCATCAGCTGGTGCTTGTGTTATTCCTTCAGTGACAGCTCTGCACACTCCTGGGCTTCGCTTCAATGCTCACTGTAAAAATGCTTGCCATAGTTACAGGTGTTGCCACCTTTCTGTTGAGGGGTGCTTTCTTAAGAGGTGAGCGTGCAAAATCAATCATATGAAGTCTCTTCATGTGCAAAAAGAACCTCCAGTAGGAGTTAAGCTAATTAGATTCTAAACAGTATAGATGAGGCATGTTCACATGATTGTTCTGATAGCTCAGTATGTTTTCCTCAGATGCAGGGAGCTAAGTTATCAGCTCACTGCTGCTGGAAATCAGTACTGCTATTTCTGCTCAGAGAGCTTCTGTGTGCTGATTCTGCTGCATGGCCAACTTCTGTGAGCTGATTTAATGCAATAAAACAGGAGGGGGAAAAAAAAAAAAAAACTTAGCAAAAATGAGGAAGAAAGAATATAGTGGCTTCAATGAGACAAACTGGATTGTAGAATAGCCTAACATGAGTCAGAGCTACCACAGAATGAATGGGTGGATCACAGGGCTAGGGGTTAGGGAATACATTTTAAATATCTCTGTAGTACTAGGCCATTAGATCAATCTTTTACATAGTTAAATCTCTGCAGGGGAAAGAGAGAAGATGGCATTATCAACTCCTACTCTGCTGCCTTAGTAATGGATTATGATGAAGGCAATGCAAATGAATCATGTATGCAAAACACATCAGTTGCTTTCAGATGCTTTTTCATGTTGCACAGTAGCTACTCATGCAATAAAAAATCAAGTGGCCATGTAGAAGTACTGTACAAAATCTGTGAAGTTCACGTGCAGAAAACACCAGGTAAGAATAAGGTTTATAAACAGAATTTTCCTGTATGTGACAAGATCACTCTATTTTACTTTCCCTTTTAACAATACGCCCTAGTTCAAGGAAATACTGTTCAAAGTCCAGTAAAGCATGTGGGCAGTGGCCCTCAGAGTCACTGAGCTAGCTGCTGACCTGTTTGTCCTGACCAGCTGTTTACTCGTGAGAGCATTTGCCTTGCTGGGAATTTTTTATGTGTTTGGGACAGGCAAATTTAAGTACCTGAAATGTTTTAGCTGGAAAAACTCTGGCTTTTCAGTATTTTATTTCCATGTGGGTGTACCCTCTCCTTTGGAAAGTTCTTAGCTAAGAACCTGAAGTAGTAAGTGTGCTTTATTACTGAGCTCATGAATAGAAGGGCTGGGGGCTCAAGCAGGAAACATTTAGGCGTTAGGATCCTGGAAAACCTTCCTGCTAGAGGAACCTGCTAGGCACATCAGATGCTCAGAGCTAATTCTGTGAGTGAGCTCTCTGCCTGCTCTGAACTTTCATTGAGAAAGACGGTTCTGAGGAGGATGGTCCCTGAAAATGTCAGGCTTTTTGTTTTAGGTGAATCTGAGCTATGGTGGGGTATGTACCAGTTGTTTGGTGTGGATGCCATTCTGTTTTGCTACATGAAATGATAATGAACACAATCCTTTCAGTTTTATTTGTAGGCATGCACATGTAGGCTGGTCATTAGCTGAAGAAGCTAGGGCAGATGTACTCTTGGTTGAACAATTCTTACCCTTTCTATTTGCCAGCATTTGGTCCTGGGGACTGCCAGACACAAACGAGTCGTATTGCTTATCAGTGCAAAAATAAGGAGGAAGCATTCCAAGTCTGTAAACTCTTCCTACAGGACATAAATTATAGCAGAGTTCCCCATTAGAAGTGGAAAAGTGCAGCGTTTTTCTTAATTGGACCATTTCACCTCAATTAGTTTTGCCAGACAAACTTCTGCGCCAGAGGAGTTCCTTGTGAAACCTGTATTTCAGGAAGGTAATCAAAAGCATCTTACGAGAGAGAGAAACACACTGATGCAGTTCAGTGTCCTTAATGATCCTGTTTCCTTTAGTTCCCAAACTGTATCAGCTCGTGAATAGATACTCAAAAACAAGTCTGTGAGCATGACAACCAAGATGTTTATAAGCTAAGTTAAATTGTAAAAAGGGGACAGAGAGAGACAAAATACTGAAAGAAAACAAAATTTTAATGAAGTTGTCAGGCAGTGGTTTGCCCAACATCTTTTAGTTTTATGACACAAGAAAAGAAAGCAGAATAAAATCCCATCCTGTTCCCTTTCACCTTGTTGCAATTAGACCTAGCCTACACCCTGCAGCTCATCGTTGTTTTCCACAGTCACCCTAAATGCTCCTCCAGGGTACCATCCAACCACTTGCTGATGGGCCTTAGCCTTGGGCAAGATGGTACCACCCATTGCTACAGATGCCATAATCACTGTCATTCCCTGTGAAATTTCTGGCAGTGGCAACCCTTGGCATGCACTTGGAGTCGGTGTAACTGGCAGAAGACAGTGTACGAGATGGAGTGTCTCCTGTAATAAACTGTTAATTGGAAGGGATAGTATAATGACTGGTAGCAAGTCTGAGTAAGATATCATTACTGTTATTTTTATATTGATCTTTTTTTTTAATGAAAAGTCTTCATAAAATTGTTTCATTCAGACCAATCTGGAGCCAGTTATCGATGATCCATAGTCTATTTCTTTCCTTCTAGGCACCTCATGTTAATACCATTGGGAAAGGAGATTTGAAAAGCTCAGCCTTCTATTGATCTTAATAAGCAGCCTCTGGTCACTTTCAGAAACCTAGTGGAAATTGAGTTTTCCAGAATACTCAGCATCCAAGGGTTCCCACCATGACAAGTAAGGCAGTGTTTTGAAGGGGGTCCATCAATAGGCCCATGCAGCCCACCATTTGCTATCTTACAACCACAGACAGGCCTCGTAGCTAATCAAGCCTCATCTGAAAATGGTATTGCCTCAGTCTTCTAGTAAGGAGTTGCTCCTAAGCATCATTGCCTTGGGAATTAAGTAACCTTCTAATTTTGAGCATAAACATATTCATGAGAAGCTTCTCTTCTCCCTGGCTTGTAGTCTGGAATTTGTTTATAGGCTGTGGTTGAATTGCCTTTCAGCTTCTGTTTTGTTTGACTAAGGAGCAGATTCACCCAGACAGGCCCAGCTCTATTGAAAATCTCTACTTTGTCAATCCACAGCAAATCTGAAATAGTCCTCCTCAGTTTTTCAGGAGGTGTATCAATGTATCCAGTCACTCTTCCAACACAAAGTCAGTGTCTTTCAGCAGGTACATTGGTTAATGCATTGTTTCAAATGAAGTCTGGAACAACAACAACAAAAAAGAGTAGCACATCCATAGCAGTGCAATTGCAGAAAAAAACTATGTTATTTTGGTATTTTCTTCATGCCATTGCTTTTATGCCCTGCCAATTTTGACATTCAGATATTCCAGCAATCCATAACTCTGAGTGACCTGCAGAAAAGGTGCAGAAATATTTCTAGCCTCTGCTAAGCTTGTTTACATCAGAAGTAGCACTACTGTTTGATGAAACAATATACAAGTGTTCTGATGGATTTTTAGATCAGAAGCTATCACTGATCATTTCACTTGACTGGAAGCATGAGTTAATTTTGGCAAGTCCAGTAGTATCCAAGCTAGATTAAAAGCTTCCCCGGGGACAGCCTAACCCAATTCATGACTGCAACACTTGAAATCATCCTTTAAAACAGAAACCCGCTTATGAAGTATGACCTTATTGTAGAAGGACCATTTACATTGACATTATATATATATATATAATATATATGCTTTCAAATCTGATTTATTAGGAATCCTAACTTGCCTACAAAACATCTTATTGAACATAAATTCCCAAAGGAACAAGCATATTGTATATTCCAACCTTCTTCAAATTATAAACTCAAAAAATAGATATGGCAAATTAAAATCTACTGACAACAGTTGCCTTTCAGAAGCTTCTAAAAAGTATGCTGGTGATCCTTGGGAGTCTGTAATACATGAGTTGTAAGATGTCTCCTTGCAAAGTCTGAATAAGTTTACAACAATGAAGACAAATATTCTTCAAAAAAAGATTATCAAAAGCTTCGGAAAGCACCAGAACAACTTCATTTCAATTCAGTGTTTTGGAACATTTCTCAGCACTCCTGTTTCCAAAGCAGAAGCCAATTTATCATCTAATTTCTGCAAAGCCGTTGTGCTACTGACATATTATGCCTCCATCTTTTGTCATAACTCTTTAATTCAATATTGTGTCAAGCATTTGTTGTCAAGTTTTGTTTCCAGTCCATCTCGTTCTTCCTAGGCACAAGTTGCTTCCCAAGCTACTAATTCTTTTATGCAGTGTTTTCACAACTTCACTGGTGGCTGAATACAGTGCGTTTATGGGAAAAAAGATCAGATGTACTCAGTTGGTCAGGATTCGAGACCCGAAATAGACTTGTACTCCACATGAGCTCCTGTGTCATGGATCAATGAGATGAAGTCTCTGGTAATTGTGGAGAAACTCCAAGATACAAGATAGCTAAGAGGACTTTTTGAGGTTCATACATGATACAGAAAGAGATTTTAGGAAGACATAAGAGACAGGAAAACAAGAGAGTCAAACACTAGTTAACAACGACTTAAAAATACTGGTATGCTCAGCTGATGGAAATCAGAGGTACAAGAAGGAGAATGGGATGGAACTTGAGATCTGACATGACGGCAGGGCAGGTCTGGTGATCTTGCCCAAACCCAGCCAAGAGTCAGGATTGCCAGACGGGTCTGGTGATAAGGTAAAGCTGGGAATTCAGCCAGTGGGATGGAATTATGGAATGGGCTTGGATC